TTATTTGTTTAATAAATGTGAAAGAAATTCTAAAAACCAGTTTTTGCTTCATCATTATGGGGTACTGTGCGTAGATTGATGAGGGGAAAAACAAAACTTAAGAAAAAGTGGAAAAAGTGAAGGGGTCCTAATACATTCCGAATGCGCTGCAAATATACAACAGCACAACTTCAAATTCAGAAAGTTGTAGGCCTTTTGTTCATTGCATTTACATGAGACAGACAGCTGGTCTTAGCTTGTGGTTCATTAACAAACCCCATTATTAAAACCTGAAGACTTACTGGAACACATCTGATTTGAAAGGCAACTTAACTCCTCAGCCTTAAAGGAAAAGCAGCTATTAGGTGCTACTCAATACTGCTGTCTGTGTGTGTTAAGGAGCTAATAACCTGTTCCCTACATCTAAGGGAAGAGCCTGGGAGTGCAATAATCTATACTCTGCTCCCACTAAATGGATAATCAGTGGTGCAACTTGAGCTCTCTGGATCGAATGGCAGCGATTACGATGTCTAGATGCTTAGCTAATTGTGTTAAAAATGTTTCCCCCACACAGAAACACACGGACACACACAGAAGCAAACACGCACACACACACACACACACCAGCTCGTACGGACCCACACCTCTAAATGCTCAGCTAATTATTGTGATGAAGCTCATTAGCAGTGTCTGACAGCCAACAGCAGAGAAGCTTAGAGGAGATGGCAATAGGAGATGGGGATCTACTTTACCAACGCTTAAGTAGTGGTTAAGGAAGCCTACATGCTTGACTGGTACACAGCTTTGTATTAAATGTTGTTTTGGGTCAGTTCACATTCAATTTACAGACTGATAGAGGTTGTGGGATTAGTTGATAACTAACAAGATAGCTGTCTGTCTGTAGCTAACTAGAGAGAAAAAAAGGACAGTAACTGACAGCTTGTCCTGGTGGCTTATAGTGTGTACAGGTGTAGGATTTTAATTTGATCACTCTTCTGTTGCTGAGAATTTTCCTGCACAGCAGGAAATGCAAACTTAGTTGTGTATTTGCAACCAGCGCTCACAGACTCACGTCAGAATTAGACGTTCATCCATGCTTCTCAAACGTCAAATTTAGAAGTTGTTGTAAACGTCAAATTTCAAAGTGTTTAAGGTTACGTTTTTAAGGTTAGGGTTACGTTTAGGCATTAACTCCGAAATCTTAAGGTTAGGTATTAACTCTGAATGGTTCAAGTAAGGGTTAAGGTTGATCGGCTTAAAACAAAAATATAAAAAACAACTTTCTATCACAGGAGTTCAACATGAAACCTTTGGACTCAGAGGCAGATGCTTACGCTGATCCGCCATCCCCGTCCACAACGCCCTACCAAAACCGAAACCTAGTTGAAGGTAACAGTGCTCACAGTTGCCCCTAGTGGCCGGTTTCTACATCATCTTCCGACGTCCTCAGACATAGATGGACGTTGAAAACTGACTTATATCACGGGTGACCTGGCTATGTATTTGAAAAAGGCTTGTGAAGTTTGTTATTTTCACTTTAAAATGTCAGATCTGTTTTGCAAAAACAAAAAATCTGTCAACCCCTACAATAAATGTCCATTAATTATAATCCATATAAAAATTCACATTTCCTGTTGCTGCAGGATTATTTTCCTGCTGCAGCAAACTGGCTCAAATTATGATCCCTCATCTGCAGCTATCCCAGCATCCATGAAGAGGGTTGTTGCGAGGAAGATGTAATGTGTGTCAGGATGCAACATGATACTGTCTCCTCTCCTCTTCGCCCCCTCTGCTCTGGTTTCAGAAAGCAGAGCAAATTGTGTCTCAAAGTTAATGATACTGTCGGAATGTTAATGGCAGGGAATATTTCAGAGGTAGAATCTTCTCCTTTCCGATGAATGGCACAGACAGTCTTGGAGATTTTCACTAGGTTTCTTCTTCTTTTTAACCCTTCGAGAAGTACAAAGAATAGTGTGGAATCATGATGGACTTCTAATTATATTATTTATTGAATTGTAAAAATAAAAATACTCCAAAACAGTTGAAAAAGGAAAGCTTGGGTTTTAATTCCAATAGAGATAAGTGAATATTATATTGCTATTCTCTAAAGGGCAAGTTTTAGTTTTAGAAAGACAGGCTACATTTAAAAACAGAACTTGAGAGCATTTCTGTCGGACCTACATATTTTTTTCTCTGTTCTTTTCTTAGAAAGCAAACATGCCAAAACCCTAGAATAAACATATGGCATAATTAACTCTAAAATGTTCCAACTTACATTTCCATATGGCAACGATAGTTATTTGAGCTTTTAAGGATTATTGTTGTTGACCTTTGTGACAGAAATGAGTGTTAGGCGTCTGAGCTCCAATGCAACAGAAAGAACAATGTTCGGAAGTCCCATGAAAACACAAAGGGATTGGCCCTCTACAACTGGTAATCACTACCTTACCTTACGCTAAACAAAATGACTGGTTATGTTAGTGGTGAGAGAGAGAGAGAGAGATAGAGATAGATTAATTAATTAAAGCGTGCCCAGTTTCATGCAGGGATGACCTCTTTTTGACAGAGTTGACTTGCATCAATCACAGCCACATGTTGTCGAGTAATGGATACGTCAGGACACTTTTATTCCTCTTTCTGATTAGTTCTCTATTCCAGAGGAAGAATATCCTGTGAAACAGCCTGCTGTGGCGATAACGCTGACTGATAACCATGGCTTGCCATTTAAGTTGGTGGAGAGTTTTTTGTTGTTGTTCGCTCTCATTCTCTCTTTCTCTCTTTCCATAAATAACTGACATAATGTTTGTGACATGAAAAGTGCATTCGAAAAGTATTCAGACCCCTTGACTTTTCCCACATTTTGTTACGTTACAGCTTTACTCTAAAATAGATTCAATAGTTTTTTCCCTCATCAACCTACACACAATACCCCACAATGACAAAGCAAAAACAGGTTTTTCAATTCTTTTTCAAATTTATAACAAATAAAATACGGAAATATTACATTTACATAAGCATTCAGAGCCTTTACTCAGTACTTTGTTGAAGCACCTTTGGCAGCGATTACAGCCTTGAGTCTTCTTGGGTATGACGCTACAAGCTTGGCACACCTGTATTTGGGGAGTTTCTCCCATTCTTCTCTGCAGATCCTCTCAAGCTCTGTCAGGTTGGAAGGGGAGCGTCGCTGCACAGCTATTTTCAGGTCGCTCCAGAGATGTTCGGTCGGGTTCAAGTCTGGGCTCTGGCTGGGCCACTCAAGGACATTCAGAGACTTGTCCCGAAGCCACTCCTGTGTTCTCTTGGCTGTGTGCTTAGGGTCGTTGTCCTGTTGGAAGGTGAACCTTCGCCCCCCAGTCTGAGGTCCTGAGCGCTCTGGAGCAGGTTTTCATCAAGGATCTCTCTGTACTTTGCTCCATTCATCTTTCCTTCGATCCTGACAAATCTCCCAGTCCCTGCAGCTGAAAAACATCCCCACAGCATGATGCTGCCACCACCATGCTTCACTGTAGGGATGGTGCCAGTGTTCCTCCAGACGTGACGCTTGGCATTCAGGCCAAAGAGTTCAATCTTGGTTTCATCAGACCAGAGAATCTTGTTTCTCATGGACTGAGAGTCTTTAGGTGCCTTTTGGCAAACTCCAAGCGGGCTGTCATGTGCCTTTTACTGAGGAGTGGCTTCCATCTGGCCACTCTACCATAAAGACCTGATTGGTGGAGTGCTGCAGAGATGGTTGTCCTTCTGGAAAGTTCTCCCATCTCCACAGAGGAACTCTAGAGCTCTGTCAGAGTGACCATCGGGTTCTTGGTCACCTCCCTGACCAAGGCCCTTCTCCCCCGATTGCTCAGTTTGGCTGGCCGGCCAGCTCTAGGAAGTGTATTGGTGGTTCTAAACTTCTTCCATTTAAGAATGCTGCAGACATTTTTGGGTACCTTTCCCCAGATCTGTGCCTCGACACAATACAATTCCTTCGACCTCATGGCTTTGTTTTTGCTCTGACATGCACTGTCAACTGTGGGACCTTATATATACAGGTGTGTGCCTTTCCCAAATCATGTCCAATCAATTTAATTTACCACAGGTGGACTCCAATCAAGTTGTAGAAACATATCAAGGATGATCAATGGAAACAGGATGCGCCTGAGCTCAATTTCTAGTCTCATAGCAAAGGGTCTGAACAGTTAAGTAAATAAGGTGTTTTTAAATTTGCAAACATTAATAAAAACCTGTTTTCGCTTCATCATTATGGGGTATTGTGTGTAGATTGATGAGAAAAAACAAACAATTTAATCATTTTTAGAAGAAGGCTGTAACGTAACAAAATGTGGAAAAAGTCAAGGGGCGAATACTTTGAAT